AGCTCAAGGCCAAGGAGAATGGTAAGAGACGCTTAGGACTAGAGCTGTGAGGCTGCAGCCCTTTTAGACACTGCTGATTCTAAGTGGCCAAAATACCAGAGATGTGGCTTCTGGGGTTAACCGCATACAGTGTGTTGTTTACCTTTCCTTTGAATCACCTTGTAGTCTTTAAATTCTTGGTCCCTGAGGCCAAGTGCACAACTTGCCTTCCAGTCACTTGCCTGCCCTTCAGTAGCAGTTGATATGTTTGGCTGGTAGATTGGGAATCAGTCACCAGTCTTTGTCCTGTCTTGGTTAGCGCCATATAGAAGCCAGCTTAACCGTGAGACCCAGAGAACTGCTGTCCTTTTTCTCCTTGAGGGAGGAAATAAAGTTGGAGAACATGATGTCCTTCCACAGCATGGGAAGGAGAAAATAAAAGTCTTTCCAACAGCTCTGACTTTTCGTGTGTGGTGTGAAACATTTTCCTACATAGTGATACTGGTTCTTGATTTTAGCTAGAACCTTTGAAATACTTGGTCTGGGTCTCCATAATAGAATGGATGGGACAAGCTTCCACTGCAGTCATTCTTCCATGACTTCTGCAGTGTCAAAACTGGGGCAGTGTTACTTTCTTTAATTCTTGACTATCTGCATGGTCATCCCTCAGGAGGCACTGATAAGTCTCTCCATACAGCAAAAGGAGGACATGCCCCGTGGGTCCTTAATTAAGCCTTTGGAAGACTAGCGTGGTGGCTCAGGGAGTCTTACTGCCTTTGCACTGAAAGACTAGACAACTCATGTATATCCTGACACTCGGGATTCCCCAAGGGGAAAGAAAAGCCACACTTAGCCCAGCATCCAGTATGCTTTGCACATACCAGTTATTTATAGTTGTCGGTTTTGTGTCAGTAAATAATAGGAGGCCACTGAGGTAGTAGGATGATGTAATGGAGATTGGGAGGTGGGGTATGGGGAGGTCAGAGTCAGAAGATCTGAGTTCTAACGGTGATCATTTATTGAGAACTTAGGTTCTAGGTACTTCGCTCAGTTTGTTACACATAACAATTTTCCTTCATTCTAACGAGTATAGTCATCATTTTACAGATGAGAAAACAGGCTCAGTGAGGAAAAGTCACTTAACCAAAATGTCTCAGCTGATAAATGGAAGAACCAGGATTCTTTTGGGTTTGCCCCTAAAATATGTCTTCTAATACTGCCTTCACTGGGAGCTATGTGGCTTTGGGCAAGAAGTCTCATTCCTTTAGTCCTAAGCTTACAATTGTAAAGAAATTGTTGAGCTAGATGAAGTCAATGAATGATCTGTAGTTATCTAGGACAGTGCTTCCCAAATGTTTTGACATCACAGCTCTCATAGAAATATATTTGTATGGCCCAGTGAAATGAATGGAGGCAGAAACTCAAGGTTTGTCCCGACAGGGCCTGACTGGAGGGGATTGGAGGACGGCGGAGAGAGACCTCTCTCAGCACTCTTGACGGCTCCCCAGTAGAGAGCAAGTTGCTGGCCCTGACCCAGACTACCTCCGCGGGTGAGCGTGGGTTCTCTTCTTCACAGGGCCATTAGGGGGACTTGCTGGGAAGTGATTGTGCCTGGGAGTTACAGAATTGGGAGTTCGTTGAAACTACCCTAAAGTGAGACATCCCAGTTGAATAAAACCTCTTTGTTAGAGGAATTTCCATAAACTAAAAGAAGTTCCCCTGTGATAGACCGCATACTTTAAATAGACTAGCAAACATTTATGCAGAATAGCTATGTAAAAATATAACAGGTTGGGCCATATGATATATGCATCTTCCCTGCTCAACTTTAGAGTTCAAAGTAAGGACTCTGAGCTGCCTTTGATGATATGTGGGCATGGATCAAGTGATCTTCCGTCTGAGGTCCTCAGCCTCCCCTTTCAGCTGTTGAAGGGCTTGCATGTGGTGAAATCGCATACGAAATGACATTTCCTTTTGTTTTACCTTCGGGCTTCAACCTGGTCACTAGTTCGGAGCTTCACTGAGGGCAGCAGGAAGCGACCACAGGGGCTGGGGCCTGACGCCACTGTTTGGGATGCACCAGGTTAGATACTGTCATGGCCAGCTACCGGCCGAACTGCGGAAGCCACTGTAGAAAGCCACGCGCAAGAAGAGTGCGCAGACCTCCGCAGGCCGTCCCACCCCTTCCCGCGCGGACCCTGGGCTAGCTTCCCGAGAAGCTCACCCACCTTGGTGCCTGAACCAATAAAAACTCGAAATATAAATGACTCACCATACCTGACCAATCAGCTTGATGCGCGCTCTCTGTCGGCATCTCGCGCGATAACCAGCCGGCCTGGGACTTCATAGTAAAAACCACCCTTGGATGAAAGACTTCTCTCCCCGCCCCTCAGCTAACGCCGGAAACGAGGCGTGTCTGGTGTATCCCTCCGCGCTTCCCAGCGGCAGGAGGAAGAGTGACTATTTGATCTTAGAAGTTTTGTAAAGTAGTGCGTCTTTCCTTTCTTGAGGCCTCGAAAGTAACTCATTTTCTGTTCAGAGCTACGCTCTGGAAAAAGTCATTGGTTGGGAACGGTAGGGTGTCGGACAGATGAAAACAAGTGGGTGGGACGTGCAGGTGACGTGACCGCGGCGGAAGGATTTGCTCTGTGATGCGGCCAGGGGCGAAACCTATAAAGCATCTGCGGCCTGTGCATTGCGGCCATTTCTCTTCCTCCCAGCCGCAGATGTAGTCCTTTTTGGCAGTGCGCCCGCTCCCTCCTCCGCTTCCGCAGGTCCGCTGCCACCATGGCGTATTAGAGGCAGCAGTGCCAGCGGCAGCATTGGCCTTTGCAGCGGCGGCAGCAGCACCAGGCTCTGCAGCGGCACCCCTCAGCGGCTTAAGCCATGGCGTAAGTACCCGGCAGGGCAGCTTTGGTCGTGCGCCCCTGCCTGGGCGCGGCCTGCGGCTGGGCGGTGTCACGGAGAGGGAAGCGGTTTTACGAGCGCCAGGACGCGTGGCCCCTGTTTGGGTGTCCCCGAATAGCAAGCCCTCTTGGGTCTGGAGAGCGCGGTCTGGCGCCAGAGGAAGAAGCTCTCGGAAGCTGCCAGGGTCTTGCCTGCGCCGCGCGAAACGTGGCAGGAGCCAAGATGGCGGCGGGGCTGGGTGGTGGCGGGCGCGGTGTGAGTCACTGGCGGGCGGGGGCAGGGCGGCCACGGCCGTATTTGGGCGTGAGGATATGGCATCTTCCTCTTGTGGCCGGCTGAGGAACGGCTGAGCTCCAAGGGCGTCCATTTTGTTCCGCCTGACCAGGGAGCAGAGAAGGTCGACACAAAGCTCTGGGGCCACGTGTTTCCGATTCTCGGTCACCAAGTAGAGTTTCAGATTGGCCATCGTGTCTCAGGAATAAAAAGATGAAATTTTCAGAGCTTCTGATCGCTAATGGGACGTGGTTTCTCATTCCTACTCAGGCTTTTCACGGCATCCAGCAGCAGCGTTGCTGTAGTCGACAAACACACCTTAGAATTAAGCGCATTCTTCGATTCCAGCAAAGCCCGGCAACATGACCGAGATGAGCTTCCTGAACAGCGAGGTGTTGGTGGGGGACTTGATGTCCCCCTTCGACCAGTCGGGTTTGGGGGCTGAAGAAAGCCTAGGTCTCTTAGACGACTACCTGGAGGTGGCCAAGCACTTCAAACCTCATGGATTCTCCGGCGACAAGGCTAAGGCTGGCTCCTCCGAATGGCTGGCTGTGGAGGGGTTGGTCAGTGCCTCAGACAGCGGCAAGGGTGAGTGGGTCTTTCATCTGCTGGTGGGGTCTGGTGATAAGGGTTTGCTACCTCGTGCATCTGGCTGAATTTGTTTCGTTCCTTTTGACTCTTGCAGAGGATGCCTTCACCGGGACAGATTGGATGGTGGAGAAAATGGATCTCAAGGAGTTTGATTTTGATTCTCTGTTAAGTTTAGACGATCTGGAAACCATGCCCGATGAGCTTTTGGCCACGTTGGATGAGACTTGTGATCTCTTTGACCCCGTAGTCCAGGAGACTAATAAGGAGCCCCCCCAGACAGCAAACCAAATTGGCCATCTCTCAGAAAATTTACCAAAAACCGACCAGGTTGCCCCCTTCACCTTCCTGCAATCTCTTCCCCTTTGTCCAGGGGTCTTGTCTTCCACTCCAGATCATTCCTTTAGTTTAGAGTTAGGCAGTGAAGTTGACATCTCTGAAGGAGATAGGAAGTCAGACTCCACTGCTTACGTTACTGTGGTCCCTCAGTGCATAAAGGAGGAGGATGCCACTTCAGATAACGACAGTGGTATCTGTATGAGCCCTGAGTCCTATCCGGGCTCTCCCCAGCAAAGCCCCTCTATCTCCAGGGCCTCTCCAAATAGGAGCCTTCTGTCTCCAGCTACCCTCTGTGGCTCTGCCCGCCCCAAACCCTATGACCCTCCTGGAGAGAAGATGGTAGCTAAAGGAAAGGGCGAGAAATTGGATAAGAAGCTGAAAAAAATGGAGCAGAACAAGACAGCAGCCACTAGATACCGCCAGAAGAAGAGGGCAGAGCAGGAGGCTCTCACTGGTGAGTGTAAGGAGCTAGAAAAGAAGAACGAGGCTCTGAAAGAGAAGGCAGATTCCTTGGCCAAGGAGATCCAGTATCTGAAAGATTTGATAGAAGAGGTCCGTAAGGCAAAGGGGAGGAAAAGGGCCCCCTAGTTAGGGTAGTCTGTGCTTGTACATAGGAGGCTTGCCATTAAAGCTGTGTTGTAATAAATTATTTTGTAGTGAAAGTACTTGTGCAAACTCTGGTTTCTTAGGTAAGCAACTTGGGCAACCTTTGGAATTGGATTCTTAATTGACCCCAGTGCGACCTGTGTTTTGGTCAGCATCACTGGTGGCTCAACATAGGATCCTGGGCCAGAGAGGTTGAGTTCCTGGGTGGTTTTCCTGGCTACATCTTAACAGGTAAGGTCAAGGCTGGGGAATTCAGCCTGGGTTCCACCTGTTGATCTAACCTTGTGCCAACATCTGTTCCCAGATAAGACCACATAGCCCTTGGGCTGGGTACACAGGTGATTAGATTTCATGTCAGCCTTCAGTGTTCTGTAGAGGCCTCAGAAAAACAGCTCTGGTTTTTGCTAGGATACACCCCTAAGCTGGGGAGAAGTCCTGGGGAGTTTCCTAAGTTCCTGGCCTGAGCTGGGCCCTAAGGCTGGCTACTAGCCAGGCTTCCCTGTCCATGTAGGAGATGTCAAGAAGAAACCGCACTGGGAAGCCACTTCGGTTGTCTCGAAGGATAAGGGTAGACATTTCCTTTTGGTTTGGGGCCCAACCTGGGCAGGTCCTTTTCATGAGTCCTTTGAGAGTAGTTCTCAAGAACCAGTCTAAGTTTCACACTTGAAAAGTAATGTAGATGACTTGGAGTGTGGCATGAGGGTGACAACACAATGAGGCAGGTGCCATGGATGATTGATCTTCAGTCACAGGAAATTGGTACACAAGATCTGGAGCAGAGTGGCAGAGGCCCTGGGAACCCAGGGGTGTGCCTCCAGAGTCTGCTCACCTATTTCTCGCCCCCGCCCCCTCTGAGTTTGGGTGTCCTGTGAAGGCCTGGGCCTGCACTTTGGAGCCCACATTTCCCTGACTTGGCTTCCCAATCCCTAGCATAGTGATGTGAAAGCCAGCCCACTGTTGGAAAGAACCTGTGATGACCCAGGTGGCAATGTCCAAGGCACTAGAGGGAGTGGGTGGGTGGCACACATGGGCCTTGGACTTGATCTTCAAGGTTTTGCCTAAGTGGAATTCCCCACAAGGCTATGGACCTCCACATCTTACCCAGCAGGGATGCCCCGCATCCAGGTATTAAAACACTCCGCTTACCCTGATCACGTCACCTAAGCTTAACTGCAACCAGCTAAATTCATGGGGGATTTAGTGGTTTAAAAAAAGTAATTAGCTACATGTGTTACGAAAACTGCTTTATAAAGTTCATCCCCATCTTACAAAGACAAAGATTCAGGCTTGGAGAGGTTTAGTAATGTGCAGCGACCACCAAAATCCCTTCCTGAGCACAGCTGCCATCTTTAATCCTTGCTCTGTGCTTCACTTCATTTGGTGACTATAGATTCTTTTCAAGATAGGAAATAATCTACAATTAGAAATGCTGCTTCCCCCATCCACCCCCAACAGTGCCTTCTGCTTTGTCCAAGGAAGCAGCTGCCTAAGCCCCAGGGGCGGGGTGCAGGAGGACACAGTTGAGAGATGACAGCATCCCTGGAAGTGACCCAGCCACCTTGATGAAGGCCACAAGAGTCATGCAGTGCCAGTGTGGGTGGTCCTTGAAGACTTGCCCACTCCACTTGGCGGGTGTGAAACGCCTTCTCTGGGGCTCTGGAAAGGGCAGTGCAAGCCTGGGGGCCTGAAGCCAGGATGTTGGGCTGCATTACCTTCCCAGGCCCCAGCAGCTAAGGCCTCCCTAGACCCGTAAGGCAGGGAGGGGATTGTGCAGCAAAGATTGCAGCCGAGCTGTTAACGTTCAGACTACGGACCACATCTGGGCCTTACTCTCCACCCTGCGCTCTTCCCGTGCTCCAGCCACCAGCTTTCTGCGGCTTTCTGCCAAGCTCATTCCTGCCTCAGAGCCTTCGCACTTGCTGTTCTGCCTGTGAGATTTTCCCCACACTGGCCTCCCCCTTCATGCAGATCTCTGATGTCACTGCAGAAGCCTTCCAAGATGACCCTTAATTCATCCCAGGCCCTGCGCTTTATTTTTTTCATACCATTTCTTCTAGTCGAACTTATTTGTATACATGATTATTTTCTATTTTCCATCCCCCGACTGCAATATAAGCTCTTTGATGGCAGAGATCTTGCTATCTTGTTCATGTTCACATTTCCAGGACCTACAGAAGTGCTTGACAATAATTACAGTTATTTGCTGAGGGTTCTGAGGAACAGCTTTGAGTGCTTTCCAGTTATTAGTTCATAATTCTCATTAGGAGCTGTGAAGAAGATCTTGATTCTACCCTTTTTACTGATGCAAGCCTGGGGCTGGATGCTGGCCCAGGAGCAGTTGGTTCAGGCAATGACAGTGCCCTGGACAGACAGGCCATGCTTAGCGCATGGGGTGTTGGTATTTCAGTGCCACGCCCTCTGCTGTCTGAGCTCAGAGGCTGGAGCTGCTAAGCTCTTGGCATTTCATGCCAGTTTTGTCCAGGTTGCAGGTCTTGGAGGTCAGGAACGGCCTTTGTGCTTCTCTACAGCTACTCGTGAGCACCCACTGGATGCCAGGCACTGTTCTGGGTCCTGGGGAGTCAGTGATGAGGAAAATAAGATAAAATCTTTGCCTTTATCCTGGCAAAGGAGACAGGAAATAACAAAAAAATCTGATGTGAGATGGCAGTGGGAACAGGCATGTGGGGTGCTGAGGTGTGAGGATTTGCTCAAGGGGCATTTAGGGAGGCCCTCTTGGGAGGCACAGCTGGCAGGAAGCAGGAATCAGCCCACCCGGAAGGGGCTATTGAGGTAGGGGTGAGGATAGTGGGTGGGGTATAGGCCTCGAAGCCTTGATAGGACTTGAGTATCTTCTGTATGACTTCGGGACCACCCCCCAGAGCAGGGTTTCTATATAAAGAGGGTCCCTCTGGCAGCCTGTGAATGGTAGGTGGGCAGGGGCCTCCACAGTTGTCCAGGAGAGAGGACCAGGCTGGGGTCAGTACAGGTAGTGGTGAGAGGAGCTGGTCTCTGCCTGCGTATATTCTGAAGGTCAGGTAAGTCAGGCTCAGGTGGGTACGAGAGAGGAGACAAAGATGATGCCTGAGCAGGTGGAAAAATGATTTCCATTTCCTAAGATGAGGAAAACTAGGGGTGGGGTGGGGGGTTTGTCTTACTCGTTGATGCTGGCAGAGGGTGGCTTGGTCTTGGCGCCTCTTAGACATGCAGGTAGGGATGGTGAGGAGGCAGAGGACAGAGTCTGGAGACCATGAGCAGCTCCATCTGGAGATAGAAAGCCCCTGCAGTGGTACCTTAGTGCCAGCATCCCTGCTCCAGGCACCAAGGAGCAGGGGCGGGGAGCTCACAGCCCAGTTTGTGTATGTTGGGGGGGGTGGTGGCAGGTGGATGACCGCACCAAGTAGGTGACAGCTCCAGGAGTCAGGGCTGTCTAAGGCTGGGTGGCCTCAGTGGAGGGAGCAGAGATTCATGGTGGGGGGTGGGGAGGAAGGGGTAGGGTGCCTGAGCTGGGCTTCAGATGGTTGAAGTTGTGGATAGAGAGAATGGGGGGAGTACCCCAAAAAGGCCAGCCTAGGCAAAGACTCAGGGGTGGAGATGAATGGGCATGTTTTGCGTGCCACAGTCCCACCCACTTCTCCAAGAGGCCTCCCTTGCCCCAACTCTGCTAGAAGTCACCTGGTGGGGGCCTGCCCAACTCCTGCAGGAACTCAAGCCTCATCTCAATATGAGCTCAGGTTTGGCCTGGCCTGTAGCTGGGTCCCAGTGAGGTTCCACATGGCAGTCCTGCCCTTCTCCTGCCTCGTCGCTTGTTCAACCCTTCTAGTCAGAGGACAAGTGAGTGTGGATGGCTCAAACAGCCCACCCCCAAACCTGTCAGCTGCCCCAAACCACCTGAGACACAAATGCTTCCAGATGCTTGTTATCCATCACAATGTCTCAACAGAGACAGGCCCACCTACTCCTGGGTCTTTTTAGCCTGGGAATGAATGTGGCAATGCAGTGTCTTCTCATTTGGGCTCTGTTTATTCCTTTTCCAGACCTTCAGTCACCAGGTCCGGGTCTCCCTGCTGCATGACAGACATCCTATCCTTCCTCCTCCAGGGTCCCCACCGCCTTCTCACCACAGACACCAGAATTGTCCAGGGGGACTGTTAGGATTCAGATTCCTGATTCCCACCCCGACCTACCGGACCAGAATCTCAGAACACTAATGTTAGTCATGCAAAGGGGGCACAGACATGCACCCTGCTGGTGCTATGTGGCATAAATGTAATGGAAGACTCACTGGAAAACCCACAAGTAGAGTAGCAGAAACCTTGCTCATCTTCCCACAGGAGTCAGCTGTCATTCTACACCTGGGAGAGAATAGGAACCTGCGATTAGGTAACACGTAGGTCCTTGTTAGAAAGGGGCCCTGGAGCTCAGTGGCTGGTCAGTTTGTTTATCCAAGAAGCAAACTCCTGGCTCTGAGCAGCTGAGCCAGCTTCTTGCTAAGCTGCTTAAGATGAAGGGAAGGAGTTTCCAAGGATATCCGGGTTTGTTCTCTCCCCACCAGGGTCACTGAGGTTCAGCGGGAAGGAGGGGTGTGGAGGATTTGAGGCAGAATATCCGCCTCTCCTTTCTTTGGAGCAAGCCCACCTGAAGAAGCCTTAACCTGGATGGTCTGCTTCCTACCGCTCACACGGAGGCCCACTGTAGAAGGGACCTGCTCCAGCTCTGTCTCAGGCAGTTCTGTAGCCACTGCTGCCTCCATTCAGAACGGAAAGTTGGTTAATTAACACCAGGAACAGAACTCCCAGGGCAGTGGGTGGGCATGTGGAACCCTCTCCTCCTGCAGGAACCGGGTACTGGCAGACTGTCACTCCCTAGCTGCCCCAGCTAAAGGGACCCTTCCTAAGTCCTCTGTCAGACAATGCCACGACCTAAGGAGCCCTTGAGGTGAAGGGTGGGGGGAGGAGGGGTGGGCTGGAAGAGACAAGAGCTGCCTGAAGGTGTCCAGGGCACACTTCTCCAGGAGGCCTCCAACCCCTCCAAGAAGGGGCTCCTGGGTTTATAGGACTTGTCTCCTTGACAGTGAAGATCAATCTAGTCAACACAAGGTACCTGTGCCTGGCACTGTGCTGGCTGGAAAGGGCTGAACCCCAGCCCCCAGCGCTGCCTTTCTGCTTGGGCACAGACCCGAGTGTGAAACCGTTTCTTCAGGTCACTTTCTGTTTCACACCAGTAGTTCCCCAACTCATGTGATAGAATTAAGAGAAAAAAGAGCTGGCTTTGACACACAGACACCCTCTGAAGGCTGCTCACAAGAGCATAGGACCTGGGCGAAGGACTGGCAGCAGCCCCTCTGCCCAGACCCCGGAGTCAGTTTCCTTGGTGATTTTTGCCTCAAGGGGCTACCTTCTCAGCTGAGGCTGCCACCCTCGGGGAGGAGGGCCCCTCTGGCTCTGTCAGCAGATGCTGGGTCAACTTCTCTGCGGATGGCCACCTACACTGGGGCCGGCCTGGCCGACTTCTGACCTGGACTCTTAAGAACCACACTGGGAGATGGGGAAGGCAGGGAAGGCCCCTCAGTGGCTGAGGAGATGAGACTCCTGGGAGTCAGATCAGTGGCAAACAGCCCTTGGGCCCAAATTTATTAGAACCCCGAAGGCCACCAGCAGTCCTACTCCCAAAGGTGTGATCCCCAACGCCCAGGAACCGGTCTCTCTACAGCAAACAGCCCAGCGGCCCTACTTGGGCCAAAGTAAACAAAAGTAAAAAATGTTCCTTTTTGGCAGGTAGAAGCCCCTCCAAGCCTGCACATTTCAGCTCCAGTCTGAGTGTAAATCCTCCCCAGGGCTTCCGGCTCACCAGCTCTGTTCCGGCCCCCCTTCCCCCACCCCCCTCTTTCAACTCCAGGGCTTCCATGAGTCAGGCTGCACACCGCCCCTTCCTGTGCATGGCAGAGTCCCAGGGGCCAGTAGAGGTTGTGTGGTCAGAGGAGGAGGCTTGGCCTCTCCCACTGCGCTTCCTGGGAGCCTTAGCTGCCAAAGTATT